CGGTTATTTATACAAAGTGGAGCAGCTCCAATAGGAGGTAAGAGGCTGAGAGAATTAGGTGGAAGAGGGACTTTAGCGTGACTTTCCTCATCCCAGGTGTCTCTCGTTGAATTTCTGCAGCTAGTAAGAGCTGTGTTAAATATAGAACATTTCTCCATGGAAAAAACTGTCTTGTTTTTAAAAAAAAAAAAAAAGAAGAAAAAAAAATCCTGACCAGCTTGACTCACAGAAGGACTTAACTGTGTTACTTCAAATTACTTTTGAAACCATTACAAAACATATTAATGCTTAACATGGTATTATAATAATGCAATTTTCAATATTATTTTTCATGACTTAGATTACTTTTAATGTGCCTGGCTACCAAGAAATAGACTTGATTGTCTGTTCAAAGGTCCATCCTTTTGTTTGGAGACTCTTTGGAATATCAAGGGATCATGTTCTTAAAATTAGTTCGGAGATCTTTATGCTACTCTGCTTAATAATTGGATGTGAATAGAGAACAAAATGATGAGACAGAAAATTGTTGTTCTCAATTTTCCTTAGAAAAGCAGGGAAAAGGGATATAGACTCTTGTAGGCTGTATTTGGAAATAGAACTATGATGTTATAAAGATCTATGGTAGATACTGCAAAACTCAAACCAGCCTACAGTCCTTCATGTATTTATTGAAAAGAATAATAATTTTTAAAAGAGTCTTTGACTGTTACCAAAGAGAAACCAACTCTCCTGAGCTGTCAGACTCAATAATACTCTGTCTACTTGGTTTCATGCCCAGTCATGGATAGTGGGGATATAGCTCACATGTTTGCAAACATGATTTCACTTCTTTATTTTCTCATTTTTTTAAACATGACCCTTTCAGGGTCTACAGTGTGTACTGTACTAAAGAGTTCATTAACCACCATTGGATAAGTCTCTCTGTCAAAACATAAATCCGCAATATTCCAAAGACAGAAAAAATGCCTGAGCTGGGAGGTGAGCTATGTACCACTCAGAATGTTAAATCCTAGCAAGCATGGACCGTGATTTCCAATATCTCTGCTGGAAAACCAACAGAATCTGCTTCTTCTGGCCCTGTGACGCCCAGAGGGCCAGGTTGCTTTAGAGCTGTCTACAGGTTTTGTGAAAATGTGTGCGTGGAAGGCAGTAAATTTACAAAAAAAAATTGTTAAATGTATAGAACTAGCTTTTAAATAACCCCCTTCACCACGACTTTAAAATCTTTGTTGTGGCATGAAGTCATGAATGAATGGGGAAAAAAACAGACTTTTTTTGTAAGTTGAGAAAAAAATGCATAAGAGACTTAGGGTGTGTTTTCACAGCTGGATAATGCTGTCGTCTTAAAGCAAAAAGACTCTGACGGTTTTGTTTTTTTTTTTTTTAAATACACTTAGATGATTTTGTGATTGTCTTAACCAGTCCTGACAACTGGCTGCAGGACCAGACACAGTCCTGCTCTTTCTCTTGCCCTTGCGCTTTCCCACTCCTAGGCTCCCCTTGGTACTAGTACCAGAAATCGTGTGGCTTGTTTATCTGGCTGAAACCTTTCTTTTTTCTGGCTGATTTCACAACATATGCTAGTGCCAACACAAGGGAGAAACAGCTACATTCTATGTGGACTGGGAGGGAACTTGTGCCTTTCAGGCCAGACCACGGTTTAAAGCGATGATGAAATTATTCTTTTAGAAAGGCCCACTGAAGAGCACAGGGTGCCTTGGCAGGTAGTTTACTGCATCTCAAAATTTTTATCATCTCAGTAGTTCTGCAAAATAAGAGGAGCCTTTGCATCAACCTATTTTAATGAAGACTCACCTTGAGTACTTGCTCAATGTTATGGCAGCCCTATCATTATGGACTTCATTTTAATAACAATAAACTGTTTAATCACAGTAGTCCTTCCAGCAAATAGATCTGTAAGTGTTTCATTATCTAGCTCTTTGTAAAATTGTTTTATTTAATCAAAACACTTTATTGGCATGCAATGATGATTTATTTACATAGTAGTTTAAGAAGTGAAAACAGAAAAGATTGTGGCCAAAATATCATGCGTCTGTTACAATATAGTTTCTAAAATTGCCATGTAAATCATAAATGAATTCTAGTCTTTGAATGCTTAAACAATTAAAAATAGGTTTGAATACGGGGAGAATATTTATTTCCTGTGTTTAAACAACTGGTTTGAACGTGTTCATCAAACAATTCATTGGTAGTCATGTAGTAAGTGTTTAATGCTGTCCAAAAAATAACTTTAAATATTTATGTATGCTTTCTCATGTAAAATAAACTATATACTAGCCTATACATTATATATACATTTATATATAGATAGCATATAATACATTAGAACAGCTCATAGAAAACATTTGTTTTTCACTTCCACATATACCTAATGTGTATATATGTATTAAATGATAACCGATACACAAAATTTGATGACAATTTCAAAACAATATCTTAGATTATTCTAATTTGCTTCAGTTGGATGGATGTTCATGGAGATTATCTACCATTTGTTGTAAAATGGTGTTACTCTTAAAAAGGTTTCTCTCCTTCAATATAAGGAACTTATATTGTCAAGCACACTGTAAAGTTATGCTTGAAATTTAGTCACATTTCACTTAGAAAGCTGTGGCACATACTGTTTTGTGGTTGTTTTTTCCTCTAAAAGGAATATTTGAAAGAGCAGCTGTCTTGTGAGAATTCTTCTGAAGATGGTGTTACCTCCAGTCAATGCCTGCCTTTGACACGGAAGGACAGAGACGAGCAGCCAGTCTTCAACCCTTTCCAGGTGTACAGGCAGTCTTGTGCAAAAGTGTTCAATCAGGTTGGTGAAAGTCTGAAACCTTGGCTATAGTATAATTTTTACTTGTCGATATTATTATGATCATGATAATGACAGAGACTGAAACTATGAAAGCAGAATTAATTACATGCGTTCACATTTGATGAAGAGCAAAGGAATATTATTACTCAGGAATCCAATGAGGGCACCCTCTACAATAGCATGATGTTAAAAAAGCCATTATTATTATATTATAGAATCATAGAATCAGTTTGGTTGGAAAAGACCTTTGAGGTCATTGAGTCCAACCTTTAACCTAACCCTGCCATCCCACCACTAAACCATGTCCCTCAGCACCTCATCTCTCCTTCTTTTAAATACCTCCAGGGATGAGGACTTGACCACCTCCCTGGGCAGCCCATTCCAGAGCCTGACAGCCCTTTCAGTGAAGAAGTTTTTCCTAATGTCCAACCCAAACCTGCCCTGGCGCAGCTTCAAACCATTCCCCCTCGTCCCATCGTCCATTACCAGGTAGCAGAGGCCGACCCCCCCCTCCCTACAGCCTCCTGTCAGGCAGTTGTAGAGGGCGATCAGGGCTCCCCTCAGCCTCCTCTGCTCCAGACTAAATAACCCCAGTTCTTTGTCCTTTTCTTTTATCAGAATTATTGCATGTAAGACTAATTTGCATTTACTTAGACTTTCAGTGTTAGTTCAGTGTAGTAAGGGAAAGCCCATTAGTAGCATTGACATTTATTACATCTGTGTAATGGTACATGGGGCTAGTCTTAGTCCTTTGAAAAACCATGGCAAAACTCCAAGTGCACATTTAGAATCTTCCTGACGAGTCTTTCACAGAAATGTTGAATAGTAAAGTAAAGGATGCTTTGGAAATACAGAGATTTAACAGAACAGTGAGAACAAGCAGGGCAAAAAAACACAAAAAAAATATGAAAGCACCCATTTTCTCTGTTTTTCTGTAAGCTATGATAGTGATATGTAAAGGATTATAATTTACTTAAAGAAAGTAGTTACCTGATAATGTAACAGTTAAAGAAAATAGATCTAGTTGCCTAAATCACTAACAGAGCACTACATGGCCAATTCATTACACAAAATGGTATGTAGTTTTTGATAGCCCTTGGACACTTAAAAAAACATACACCATCATTGCTCAAGTCTTCCTAATCCATCATCTACAGTTCTGATTCTCCCCCTCAGTTTCAAATACTTAAAAAGAAACACTATTACAGTAGTGTGAAATTCACTTTACAGACTCGTGGTAGAAAGACATCCTCTTTCAGTACAACTCTGCCTTTAAATAGTGTAATCTCCTTTCCCAGTTTTGAGCCTCTTGGATTATTTCACCAGGTGTATTGCTGTAAAATGTATCTATGTTGGGGTTTTTGTTTCTTCTTTTTTCCCCTTACATGTTTAATGAATGCTTAATCATTGTCATGTTGGAATAAAAGTATTAATTTCCTGAAAAAGGACATTAATACCAATTTCACAAGGCTTCTCCCTCCAGAGGAACATGCTTTAAAAGTATCTTTTTTTTTCCTTCCACTAGTCCCTTTATGTATATCTTAAATTGATATACTTTAAGGGTCTACAGAATCACTTGCTCCAATTTGAAATGCAGAAAATAGTTTACCATGCCTCAATTCTCAATTCATTAATAGTGTGGTAGAATAAGACCTTCAAGTAGTGACAACTCAGGGCAGAATTCTTCTGCTACATGACAGGTTTGCAGTGCTCTATTAATCAACGGATGACAGGGGATAGTTCATATTAAATTGCTTTGGACTTTGTAAACTTTTGGCAAAAAGTCTACTACCTGAATGTGAAAAAGTATCTTAAAATTAAAAGAAAAAAAAAGAGCAGATCATGGACCTTAAAGTACCACGTACCAACTCTGTTGTTGACAATGACAGACTTATTTCCTGAGCTTAATAGTATTATTAAATAATTTAGTTCCCTTTACCATAAAATTGCACATTTATGTAGCGGTGTGGGACTGCCTATAAAATAGTGGTCAGTACAGCTCCGTGTCTGGTTTCCCGTGAAGACTATTACCAGCGCCTGTAGAAGATGCCAGAGCATTGGCAAGGAGCAGTTATTTTTCTTAAAGGATATAATTCTTCTTAAATTAATTTCTCACTGGTTGGCAACTGCCATGAAGCTTTGGAGTTTAGAATCCATGATTAATGTCTTCATTTTCTTTAAAGGTATTGTAACTAGATGTGTTTTTAATACATCAGTTAACATTTTACCTTTTAGAAATTCTAAGTCTCAACAAGCTGCTGGTTTCACAACGTATTTTGCCAGTGAGTTAATTATGTATTGCTTTTTAAAACTTTTCTCTCAGAAGGGCCAACTGGAATAGGCATGGCGATACTGCTTGTGGGTCCAGAGCGCTGGCTCAGCTCTACACAGAGAATGTTTGCGTTGCACCGCAATATAACATACTGGAATATATAGCAATATAATCTGTAATGGTATAAGAGCAAGTCTGCACTACACAGTGTAGCCATGCTCTTAGCTTCCTCCGTAGACGGTTTCTTAAAAAAGAAAGTTTCAAAAGCTTTCTGAGAGCTAATTTGTAGTAAACATTCCATGCATTGTTTGTTGGTATATGTAAAGATGGCAGTTCATTAGGGTGGTTGACTTTCTAGTGGTAGTGGAGGCCCCATCCCTGGAAGCATTCCAGGCCAGGTTGGACGGGGCTCTGAGCAACCTGATGTGGTTCAAGGTGTCCCTGCTCCTGCGGGGGGGTTGGGCTGGGTGACCTCTGGGAGTCCCTTCCAACCCAAAACAGTCTATGATTCTGTTCCGAAGCTTTGCTAATTTGTCCCTATCGTGTCAAATTTAACAAGATACTTAATCATAATCTCTATGAATTTTACTGTTCCTGAAACAAAGGCCGCTGAACTGCTATTTTGAGATCAACTCCAGCATTTTTATTAATGATATGTAAATTTCTTACCTTCCAACCCTCTAGTTCAGTAGCTGATTCTAGGAAGTGTGTCATTTCTGTTAACAATTCAGCCACTTCATTCTTACATTCCTGTAAAAATCTTGAATAATCACCATCTGGTCCTAGTAACTTGTTGCTCTTGATTTTATCAATTTGTCCTGACACCTCAATCTCTGCCAGTGCTGCTGCTCCTCTATTGTCTGATAATATTAAGTCTAGGCTATGCAACTCAACAGTATCAACGAAGAAAAATGCTACAAAGAAATTATTTTCCTTTCCTGAAGTGACTTTTTTTCAAACTGATCTTTATTTTTTCACAGAACTGATCAGTCTGGTGGACTGAATTTTTATCTGGTATACTTATTAATTTTCCTATTTGTTTTTATGAGTGTTGCTGCTGGCTGTTTAGTTTCTCCTTTTTATCCCTCTGGATTTTACAAGTACTTCCTCCATATTTATTTATTTTTAGTTCAGTGTAGGGTATAGAACAGTTGCCTGTTTTCTCCCCTGTGTTATTCTACTCCCACTGTTCTCTTAGTTGGCTCCTTTACCCTTATTTCTTGTTTATCAGATCTTCACTCGCTTTCCACTTTCTCACCGTATTGTTCTTTGTTTAGCTACCCTTGTCTTGCTTTCTTACTCTGTATTTCACCTATGTTTTTCTATATTACTTTTAAGTGCATGACAAAGATTAGGGTTAGGGAGAAAATTAAATTGAAAGAAGGAAGGGAATAAAATAAAGATGGAAGGAAGGGGAGGGTTTGCACTGGTTCTGCTCTCCCAGAAGAACCAAATGCTGACTGTAAGAAGAAAAACATACACTACAAGATATACTTTACTCTTCTTATTTAGGTTTATTTACGTTGTTTTGACTTGCTTCATCCTTTTTTTTTTTTTTAAACTACTTGGTGCTATTTTAATGTTACAACAATAATTTTTTAATTATTTCCTCCCAAGAATGTTGAATTATAGTCAGTACTTGACCATTACTGACAATAAAAATTAATAATATGCAACAGGAATTACTGTTTTGTAAACATAAAAGACCACATAAAACATTCTTATCTGCCCACCATTATTGTAGATTGCTTTTATTTATTAAATAAGCAATATGGAGTTGTATTTATTCATATTGTCTAGACTTACTGCTCTTTGTAATAACCATCTGGTGACTGGAGTGCTGTATAAAACGATAGACAAGTAAACCATCACTCTAATTACGATACAGGTTACATCTTGAATTCCAGCTATACCAAGTTTTTCATGACAAACTTTTTGCTGATAGCAGAAAATGTAAATTGCTGTTACATAAAAAGTTGCCAATTATTTTGCTTTTCAAACAAAGAGTCAAGCTCTCAAACAAAGTGGTTGGGCAGAATGCCATTAACAGTTGGAAGAATAACGGTTCAAAAAATTGATTTATCTTTTTATAAATAATGGCTACATCCCCAAATGGATTTATAAATTAATTGCTGTCTTATTGGAATAAAAACCTTCTTCTGTAGCCATGATTGATATCATCTATCTAAGTCCTTGTTCTAGACCCCCCTCCTTCTTGGTTAGTATACCACAGCTGGAGCTTTAATTTACTGATCATATTAACACTGATTAATAACTAACAATAGCTTCTTGCCATGTATCAACAGTCAACCATTACTGAATGGAACTGGGATTGGTCAAACTTGCTGCCAAGTTATTTGGGACTGAACAAGATGACCTTCAGGGTGCTGCTGGCACACAGGTAATGGGATTTTCGCAAATAATTGCAATTCTCTGTTGTCTTTTTTACTTTATAATAGTCAATACACAAAGATTTTACTGGTGAAATTTATAAAATAAATTATACATTTATCTTTAAATATGCAATTTTAAAATGGAGATACTTATTGTCTAGTGGTTTGATCCATACAAAGATGGTTTTCGGTTCCTATTTTGAGGAACTTAGTATGGTCTTTCTGTCTGAGACCTGAATATATGCTGATATTGCCCTTAAATAGTGCTTTAAAAAGAAATGAGTAACTTCTGCAACCCTGTACTGCTTGGGGGGATTTCAGCTGTATAGCACAGAACTTAGCAGATGTTTACTCAGGCTGCAATGAATCTTAAATTCAGTTGGGGGCATGACAAGTGTAGCTAGAAATAGAAAGTATTTCCGTAATAGTTTTTTTAACTAATGGAACTTATTCTAATAATTTTACACTTTTTTTACTTGTAAAATTTAACTGCTTAATTTATAAGCAGATATATATTTAATGCAGAGTTGATGGTTCTTAAATTCGGAAATAGCAATTTGCTAAATTCAGAAAATTGTAGGTGGAAAAATGGAAAATTTTTCTAAAATATTTGCCACATATCCTAGTGAAAACTGGAAAACTTACATATTGCAGAGTAAGAAGTTTAATGTTTCTTTCTTAATTATGAATCCTCCTGGTGATATCTAATATGGTCATATCATGCATCTTTTAAACTGAACTGTTTCTCTATTTAGAAACTAGAATGACAATTTCAAAAATGTGTGAATTTGCATGTCAAAAATGTTTTTGTTTTTTATGCCGTTTTCTCAATTTATCGCCAGCAGTTAGTCTTAAACATTTAATTCTTCCTTCATTTCATCTATAAAATATTTGTACAGTCTATTTCTAGTCTTCTTTCTAAATTTTGCTATGATTAATTCCTTCCCCTGCCAAACTGTTATTTTCCAAAATTTTAGTGCAAATGTACAAAAAGTGATCTTGCCAAATATGTGCCATTCAGTTCTCCTCTCGATGTCCTCTGTTACCCACTAAGTGACAGAATATGGGGCTTTGTGGACTTTTTGGTCTGTACCGGTAGTGTCATTTTTGTGTTAAATGGCAGAGACAATTCAGTACTAATTTTTTTTTTTCTTTGATAGTTCTCCTGCTGATTGCTAACACTTGTCCTTCATTAAAAATGAAGTAGTTTGCCCTTTTAAAGGAGATTATAATAGAAAGTCTTAGACTCAAGCTGGTTCTTGAACTTCCCTTCATGTTGATGTCATCAATATGAGCCAAAGGGAGCAGGGAAGACTGCTGTGATTTGCAGAGGGAGAATTTTCTGTGGACATTTCATCTTCTCTGATATCTTGAAACACATTTCATTTTTCTTTTTATCTCTTTATAGAGTTTAGAAAGAAGTTATGTATGTGCCTTCTCTGTCCTCTGTATTTCATGCCTTTGTCATATCAACTATTGTTGCATCTTTTTTTTTTTTTTTTTTTTTTTTTTTTATTCAATAAGTGCCCTAATTGTTGTCATCCTTCCTAATTTGAAAATGTCTCCATTCATTGCCCTTCTACACGATATGGAAATTCTCATCTAGAAGTGACATTATGCAAGCCATTAATGATTAGCTCATGGATTTATTATTTAAACCACTCTTCTCTGCTTTAAAGACCAACAGATCGTTTAAACCCATTATGATCGTTAAGTAGAACTGCTAATCCAATATCTGCCATAGCGACCAGTGTCTCCAACGCAGCTTGTCTTTATGTGACTTAATTTTTAACATAGCTAAAGTACATCTGCTCACGCTTTCCAGCTGGCTAGGCCAATTCTAGCTGGTCTCATGTCTACTCAAGTAAGCCTTACAGGGACTCAAGTGAGCCCTGTGTTTACGTGATTCTTCATGCTCCTTCCTAAAATTGCATAAATCTCAGCCTTAGTTGTGCTCAGGAGTTAAAGTTCAAGCTGAATGGATGTGTGATTTATCTTGACCTCCTGCTTGCGATGGATCCATTCTGTTTGTGCTATTTGCTTCCTAAGATGAGTTAAACAAGACTAAGGGCATTACTTGAAAAGAGGCATAAAGCGTATAAAGCGGAGTGCCATAATACTTTAATTACTCCTTTCTTTAACACATGCTAAAGCTTTACCTTATCAATTACTTATGTGCAGGTAAAAATACTTTTACCTGTTCACAGTGATATTGGGGTCTATTTCCTTTTTTGTATATTTAAAGAGAAATACTGTCTATTGCATCTGAGGTAAAATAAGTATGCACTGCTCTCTCTTTGGTGGGGAAAAAAGTAAAAATGCTTAGGGGACTCACTTACAAGGGAAATGCTCCCCTAACCTAGTTAATGACTGAGTTAGGTGGGAGGGGGTTATGGGAGCATTGTCCCAGAGCCAGCAAGTGGTAGGCAAATTAATTGGTTGGTGGTTAGGGGAAAGTAAAAGGCTTTTAGGACTGGTTAAAAAGGGAATGAATTGTTGTGTACTACTCATTGATGGCTCCACATGAGCATGTGAATCTAATCAATGCATTCCTATGATCCTCAAAGTAAAGGTGTTTAGGAATTTTTTCAAAGGAAAGACGTGGACGGTTAATGATACTATTTTATCTCAAGGTTATCAAATATAGAACACTAGGAGGAACAGCCTGTTAAAGTTTAGCTGTAAGCAGTAACATAGAAAACAATGTTCATCCCTATTTACAGTTCATACCTTTAGAAAGTGCAAAGAAGTTTTCCTTACAGGAAGAAGGGGGATATATAGCTGGATTCTTTTCCTTTTTTGTTTTATTTCTGAGTCTTTTTTTTTTACATAGAGTTTGAGCTGCAAGAATGAAGATAAAACATACTCTTCAAATATACTTAAAATAGTATCTTCTACTAATAAGCCCGTTAACATTCAGCTAACTTAGAGTACTTGATTTTCCCAAGTTTTAAAAAATGTCCTGCGTGCTTAGAGAAATACACACTGCTTTTTCGAATCTTGGCACTCATACATCCTTAGATATTTCAGGACCAAAGGGGAGTTCCTTCCCTCTAATACATATATGAAGACAAGAAGACCATGTGCTTTTAGTTATTGTTTAATTCACATGTATTTCAACTTTTAATCATTGTCCTGCTCATAAAGGAAAAATTGTCTGGCTAAATCAGCGTGTTGAAACTGTTTCTGCAGTTTATTGTATCAACTGTGATCTTTTTAACTGTCTGCCCACTATCTCTGTGCGTATTATTGCATTTGCAAATAGTTTATGAAGTGACTGCTGACCTTGGCCAGCAGCTAAGTGTCCGTATGTTCGCTGCCTGGACAATGGGATGAGAGAGAGAATTGGAAGAGCAAAGGTGACAAAACTCATGGGTCGAGATAAAGACAGTTTAATAAGTGAAGCAAAGCAGTGCACATGAGCAAAGCAAAACAAGGAATTCATTCCTTGCTTCCCAAGGGCAGGCGGGTGTCCAGCCAGTTCCTGGAAAGCAGGGCTCCACCACGTGTAGTGGTCACTTGGCAAGGCAAACGCCATAACCCCGAACATCTCACCTTCCTCCTCCTTTCCCCAGCTTTTATTGCTGAGCACAATGTTTATATGGCATGGAACACCCCTTTGGCCAGTTTGGGTCTGCTGTCCCAGCCGTGCCCCTTCCCAGCTCCTTGCACACCCCCAGCCCACTCGCTGGCGGGGGGCAGAGTGGGAAGGAGAAAAGGCCTTGGTGCTGTGCGGGCACTGCTTGCCAATAGCCAAAAAGCTGGTGTCTAGTCAACACAGAGGTACAAACCCAAAGCGTAGTACCATTCATTACCCTTCTTGTTTATGTACTCTCCTTTATGCTGATGCGTAAGTTAAATACTTTCTGATCATTAGTTTTCAGAGAAGTATCTCAGCAACTTGTACATGGTTATAAGATATTAATATTTTGCTGGGGTTTGAGATGTGGCCTTCCTTCTGCAGTTGTACAGGACTTTCAGGTGCATTGAATACATTACTATAGAGAATAACTACATTCCACTCACTACAATTACAAGAAACAAACGAGACATTTTTGTAATATAAGATGCCATTCTCCAATGTTGTGGTAATTTGATGTTAAGAGGAGGAGCATCTGAGATTCCCTCCTCTGCACTTAGGGAAGTTTCACGGAGCAATGGGGCCGGTGCAGGGCAATAAGTTGTGCTTTGGTTGGAACGATGTGGGGATATGCTGCGAGCAGGAGCACTCTGGGAGCTACGGGAACAGAGAAGAACTCTTGACTGGCAAAGCCAATGACAGTCAGGTGCAAGGTCCTTCCAAGAATAGGAAACATAAATAACTGAGAGGGCAATACGTTGGTTTACCATAAATGTGAGAAGCAGTTTTGAGATAGAAAAAGTGTAGAAGTTAAAACCAGTATTTCTTCAAGTGGATAAGATCTGCCATGAAAAAGGTCTAGACTGGAAATTAGAAGATGATTTCCAACAGATGAACCAGTGTAGCTCAAGAGAGTTTTCCAGAAAGTGTTTGCACAGTGATACGAGCTTAAGTAGTTTTAAGGTGAAACAGGACAGACCAAGTAGTTTACTTCTAGTCATGGGTTGCTGTGATAAATATTCTCAGCTGCTCAGCAGCTCCTCAAAGCAGAGGAGAAAACCTGGAATTGTTTATGTATAGGCTTTAAGGAAACTATAAAAAATTAGTAAGTTTGTTTTCTCCTAAAACTGGATAAAATATATAGGCTTTCTAGTAACGTTTGCTGCAAAATATACACAAACTCTCACATTCTTTGTACTCCAGAATTTTTCTTAACACAGTCCAGACCACATTCTGTCTGACAAGCTGCTGGCTATTTGCAAGTGAAACTGCTTTTCAGTAAAGTAAAGACTGTCCCTGGCAGCAGGGCACTGCCCTAAGTTTAAGAAGGTCTCTTTATGCTGTGGAAGCTGACCTCGTACCTAGCATCTCTCTTTTTTGAAATACTTCAATGTTCTGGGCGAGGACTCTCTACTTGCCTTTTGCAAA